TTTTCTCTAAACCCTAAGAGAGAGAAAGTCTTCAATTCCTATCTTTTCTAATCACAAATGGATCTCAATAGATCAAGAACTGTAAGGGGGGAAAGCTCAAGGCAACAAGAGGCCAGAATTGACCCGGATTTGCAAGTTCTTGGATGGGAGAGGGTGGTCATCACCACCCAAGAGCAAAAACAAAGGATGATCAACCTCACTTCGAGGCAGGTAATTCCTACTAGTTTTGTTCATCACCCCACCCTTATTAGATTAGGAATTGATAAGCATGTAGAAAAGTTGTTCAAGGGAATTGGCATGAGTGGTTTTTTTAACATGCATTACGATACTTATGATTACTTAACCTTAGAATTCGTTTCTAGTTTTAATGTCATAAAATCTAATGCTTTAATTTCTCATGTTCAATTTAGATTAATTAATAATGATGTTAGATTGACATTGAAATAATTTGGCAAACTTTTTGAGTTAAAATCGGATAGGCCAATTGAACCTCCCCAAGACAACATTGCCATTGTCTATCAATCCCTTACGGGGGATCCTAATTTGAACCTCCAACATGCCAAGGGCACTTGGATACAACATCCCGTGCCAAAGTTTTGGCAACGGTTTGTTGGCCATACCATTTTTGGAAGGCATGAACCCGCCAATGTTAGGCGGGATGAGCTTGAATTGCTAGGGTCATACATGATCCCTAGGAGCGAAAAGCTCAACATAGTCCACAAAATGGCCAATCCCTTCCAACGGGTGGCCAATGCGGTCGAGGCGGGTAGGTCTAGGGTACCCATTTGTTTTGGTGGCCTAGTAACACACGTAGCAGTCAAGCACCTTAACTTTGTCCCTAACAATGACAGTAAGGTAGCCGGCCCAACTATTATGGATCTACCCTATTTAGGTGGCCTTAATTGGATTAATGTCATGGGAGGTGAGACTTTGTGGGTGATTCAACGGGAATCGGGTAGGAGGGATAATGCTTTCACTTTACCCAACCCCACCTTGACCAAATTTGAGAAGGGGAAGCCTTCTTACACTTTCGAGATTAACGGTCAAGGTGAGGTTCAACCACCTCACCCTTCACCTCAACCCCACCAATCTCCCATAGAACACTCACCTCATCACCATTCACCACACTACCCACCACCTCCACCCTTTACATATGATATTCCCACTTCCTCAACCAACTACAACATTGACCCCAACGCCCTTTATGACTTTTTGGCTTTTAGGAGCCAATTAGATAGGATTGAGATGGGGCAAGGGAGAATTGAGGGTATGGTTAGGAACTTGGACACTAGATTAGGGTCTCTAGATAGTCGGGTGGGGTATGTGGAGAGGAACCTAGGGAGGGGTTTATACCCCGTGTATGATGATTATGCCCGTCGGGGGGCTATTCCCCCCGATTCACTTGTTCCCAATTGGTTCCAATATCCGCAAGGTGGATATACGAACCCAAGTGCCTATGGTACCTATGTAGACTACTCATCGGTCCATGGTTATGGGACCGATGTACCTTTTGGTGGGCTTGGGGGTAATGTGGACCCTAACTACTTTGCAGGTGGTTCGGGTTATGGTGGTGGTGGCTCTAGCCATGGAGGAGCCGGTTATAGCCACGGAGGGGGATATTCGAGGATGGATGAGGATGAGGAGTAGGCTACACTCCCAAGTCAATGAGGGCATTGCTTGATTTGGCTTGGGGGGTGATCTTTCGCTTGGTAATTCTCTTCCTTTTCTCTTTTTATTTGCTTTCTAGTATAGTTTTTATTGCTTTCCTAGTGTAGTTTTTTATTGCTTTCTTATATATGAAAAATACAAAAAAATTGAAAAATAAAAAATCCAAAAATACGTTCCATTGAATTGTAAATTATGCTTCCCTGTGCCCCTTACTTGAGAAAATTGTTTTGATTCTTGGTATTTGATGATAGGAATTGTGGATTAGTTGATCATGATTTGATGTTTGATTGCCTTGAAACCTTAACATGCGTCAATTTTGTCCAACTTCTTGTGAATATAGTGCTTGACTAGTTGATTTGGTTAAGGAATGTGTGATAGTTCCATAGTTCCTGGTATGTCAATGAATTTGAGTATTGGTTCGCAACTATTAGTAATATTTATATGATTCGTTATTATGCACATTTTGGAGGACGAAGGCGTTTGTTCTTTTAGGTAGCCTCCAGATATTGTAAATACATTTGTTCCCTTCTTGCTACCCATGTTGTTGCCTTGACCTTTTGTTGTTTTATTAGCCATATTACAAGCCTATTTTTCCCCATTGGTTACTAGTCCCAAGCTTGGCTTGGGGGAGCTATTAGTGAGTGAGGTGAGGGAGTTTGTAGTGTGCTTATTATTTGCACAATTTGGGTGGGTTTTGAGAAGTTGTTTTGTTGTTGATCATGTTTATTTTTGATGAGTTTGAGAGTTATATTTTCTTAAAAAAAAAAATAAAGCATGATATTATGAAAAAAAAGAGAGAAGTTCAAAGAAAAAAAATATGTTGAAAAAATAAGTGAACTTCAAAAGAAAAAAAAATGTTCAAATGTTCTAGTTAGAGGTTGATCAAAGAAAAATAATTTTGAGCCTCAATGAAAAATTCAAGTTTGGAAAATAAAGTTTTTTTATTCATTCTATTTCTTCATTATTATATTTTTATGAGTGAAATTGTAAGTGTTGGGATTGTTTATTATGATTGGAGTATATTTGGTTGATGTTAGAGTTGGTTATGTAGGAGATGTTGATCATAATTTATTTTGATCATGGGTTTTGATAGGATTTGCTCCCTTAAGCATAGTTTTTTCTCTCACTTGTTCTCAAATGATTCCTACCCTTTACCCTAGCCTTACATTACAAGCTTTAAAGACCTTCCGACCTTTGTTCATAGAATTGTATGAATGCGAAAGTGTTGTTTATCAATGCAAGTTATGATTTGACATATTTTGAGTCGACTATTAGGGTTGAGCGTTCATTGCTTTATACACACGTGAGTGTGAGTTGGGAGGGCATTGTTCACATAAAGGGTTGGATGGAGAGCGATCGAGTATTTTTAAAATGCTAATTAATGGCTATAACTTTTTTTTTTTTTTTTTTTTTTTGGGAAGGTTATAACTTTTACCTGATAACCTTTTTTTTACACCAACCTGATAACCTAAAATATATATTTTTAAAATGCTAATTAATAAAAAAAAATTACAATCTATGTACCTATAATAAAGTGGAGTATTTTTTTCCCTGTTAAAAAAATTATCTTCAAACTTCACTACTTATTTACGGTTGACTACTAGAAAAATTACAACCTAATAACTCAATCTTTCTTTTTAACAATATCATTAATTTATCTTCAAACTTCACTACTTATTTATGGTTGACTATTGATTTATATTTATATATAGACTTATTCTAGGTTAAGTCCCGTGCCATGCACGGTCATAATTAAAGTTTACAATATATAAATAAAAAATATGGTGTTAATTCAACAATAATTTCTCAAAAAAAATTACTTGTAACAAAATAACTTAAATTAAATGTAAAGATTATTGAATTGGATTTTATAAAAAAATAATAATATAGTAATAGAAACTTAGATGATATAAGGTTTTATATAAGAAAATTAAATTATTTGCTTAGGTAATTAGGTTAGTACCCATATACGAACTCATATACATTTTTTCTTAAATTTTTGACACAATTTGATCGACATTATATGAAAATTTATTTGAGTTCATTTTACTTTAGGATAATTAGTATTCCGTAATCAACTTATTAAATATATTTTTAGTGAATAGTAGGATTTTTTTAAAAATAATTAAGTTTTAATTTTCCAATATATGTTATGTACGAAGTATACTATAACAAAATTTATTTTGTTCTCATAAACATTATGTATAGTTTTAAGATTAATACTCCGTACAAAGTATGCTACCAAAATGATTTTTTAAAAAAAAAAAATGATATTGATAATATTATAATTATCTTGGAAAACAATATATTCCAATACCTTATTTTTTAAAATCTATGTTAGTATTTTTGTAATTAAAAGTTTCCTAATATATATAGAATATATGTAAAAAATTTAATTGTGTAATATTGGATTAAATATGTTGTCAAAATGGAAATAACTATTATTATAGGTTATAAAATATATAGATGTCATTAAAATATGACAAAAAAATTAAAAAGAAAGGGAAAAAAAGGCGGGAAAATTTTTAACCAAGAAATGACAAGTGTCATTCCTGGTTTCGCCTTTAGTATATGTTTATTGATTGATGATTTCCAATATATGTTATGTATGAAGTATACTATAACAAAATTATTTTGTTCTTATAAACGTTATGTATAGTTTTCAGATTAATACTCCGTACAAAGTATGCTACCAAAATGATTTTTTTTTTTAAAAAATTGATATTTGATAATATTATAATTATCTTGGAAAACAATATATTCTAATACCTTATTTTTTTAATCTATGTTAGTATTTTTGTAATTAAAAGTTTCCTAGTATATATAGAATATATGTAAAAAATTTAATTGAGTAATATTGGATTAAATATGTTGTCAAAATGGAAATAAACTATTATTATAGGTTATAAAATATGTAGATGTCATTAAAATATGGCAAAAAAATTAAGAAGGAAAGAGAAAAAAATGTGGGTTTTCCAAGAAATGACAAGTGTCATTCCTGGTTTCGCCTTTAGTATATATATTGTTTATTGATTACTGATGTTTCCATCACTGTTTATTAATTTTAAAAATTGAGCATGGCTTGAGCATTATCTAGTTGTAAACCAAAAATGAAAAGAGGCATTTTGACATAGTTGCCAATGCCTATCCATTGGATAATTCACACCATATCAACTAAAAAAAGACCAAGTAGGCCTGGTAAAGCCATACAAGCTCTAGAATTTTGGGCAATAGAATTTAAAATCATTAAGAGTAGATCGAATATCAAATGTTAACCAAGTATGATCTAGAATCCTCAAAAGTGGATCAACAAATAAACTACAACATTTGCATACTACATAAAGTTGCATAGAAAAGTAATTTTCAAGACTAAATGAGTATATCAAATGTTAAACAACTCTTGAAAATTTGGAAATAGAACTTAGATTCTCCAATCAAACTGTGTCTGTAGTAGAAATTAGAGTTCACAGATAGTCTTATTCCTCCTCATTATGCATGAACATGGGTACTACTCCACTTATCTCCACATTGATAGCAAAATTCATAGTGACACCTGGATAAAAATTTTAAAAAAAAAAATAGTTAAATTAATACTTCTTATATAAGGCCTACGTAATGTAATTTAGAGATAAGAGGGAATTGTATAAAAATAACGATATTCATCTCCTTTATTGCCTTTTAGATGGATCTTCGGTGAAATGAATCTCCAATAATGCAATATTATAATCAAAATAAAAAGTTGAAGCGCATACATGACTACGGGATAAATGAAGTAATTTTATATGAATAATTAAGTACCGAAGTAAGTTAAGTAAGTAATAAGTAGGTTTTACCGAAATTATTAATTTGTCATAGATTACATTTGAATAATTTATTCCTATTTATTATTTATAAATTATAAGGAATGAAATTAGAAATTTTATTAGTATTTAAAATTAGAAAACTAACCTGCAAGTCATATGAACACAACCATCACTCCTCTCAACAAAAATCTTACAATTAGGGCATCTCTTCCATGACTTATCCTTAGCAAGCTTCATCACCATTATATCCTCTCTCTCCCTCTCATCTTTCCCCAGCTCAAGAAACTCTTCGCAGCTTAAGCCGTCGTGCCACGGCACTTGACACCGTGCACAAAACAATCTCCGGCAACTCGGACACTCCGATTCCCTCACCTCCACCCCACCATCATCCACCATTAAAACAGAGCAATTTTTATATGGACAGTAAAATTTCTGCCCCCCAGGAATCATTACTTCAAATAAAACATTTTCCCACCTTACAAACACTTCTTTAGGTAAAATTGCACTGCAATTTTCTGGTTCTATTGCTTGATTACATTTAGGATCAGGACAATTCACCATTTCATGATTTTCCCTAATCTTCGACGCCACGTATTTGATTATACAATCAGTGCAAAATTTATGATTGCAAATGTTTAAACCATTGAAAATTTCTGTCTTTGGTTTGTAATCCATACAAATTCCACAGAAAACGAGCTTAGTTTCAGATGATTCACCTCTTTCTCTGTTTTCTAAAATGCTCTGTTCTTCATCCTCTGTTTTTGGGATTTTAAACAGGAAATTTTCATGAATTGAAGGAAGTGATGAAAATGAGTAAAGAACATCCTCTGTTTTTGGGATTTTAAAAAGGGGATTTTCTTGAGTTGAAGGATTTGATGAAGATGAGTAAAGAGCTTCTTGAAGGTGTAATTCTTCTGCATATTTCTCATCCGATATTGGAATCGGTTCTTCATTGATCAAAGCTAAAGATAAGCTTCATCAACATAAAGATCAAGATTTGTAGAAGTCATTGAGAAACTTTACAATTTTTAAGGGAAGAAGAAAATAATTTGTTTGAATATTAATACTAGCTAGTATTAACATGTATTGATAGTAATTAAATTTGAATTGACTGATATCTTGGAAATGGTTAGTTAAGTTTAATTAAAAAGGAAATTTAAACGTTTTTTTTAGGCTTTCCAAATTTCAGCTTTTAATATTTTTGGTTTTTTATTTTGTTTCCCCAAGATTTTTGGAGAATGAAAATTGTGGTAAATAAGATGTACAGTCTTCAACCTACAACGTTATGGCAAAAAGATTCCCATTGTATTTGGCCGCTATTATGAGTTAATTCGTGGAAATCTTAGCTCTTTTTAATTATCTTTGATAGAATACGCTGGATTTGATAAAGAGATATAATGCTTTAAACAGATTTTTATAGAGTACGTTGGATTTGATCAAGAGATAATGCTTTTTAATATGGTATATGTCAAATTATCAATGATACGAGTATTTATTTTAACAGTTAGTTACAATCTTAAAAGATAGATTTGGGAAAATATTGAGATCAACACATGAGGATGAAGCAATGATAGTATTAGTTGGTTAAATAGAATCAAAAGGTACTTAAACGGTTAAAGGGATTTCCAAATTTTAATTTTTCCGGGAGTAATCTATCTTATTAGACTAAAAGACAAGCGCCTCAATGTGAGGATGACAAATGTCACTCTCTCATTGGCTTATCTTATGTATAAAAATATATCTATATAATTACTGTTTACATATTCAAGCATAGTTATTTTTGTTAAACTTCAAACAATAAAAGCAAGTTTCTATACATGTATAAGATTTTCATGATTTCCCAACATAAATATTGATTTAAATTTTTTTATAATAAATATATACTTTCCAATACTACAAATAATCCATAAAGTCTTTCCAATCTTTATTTATACTTTCCCAAAATAGTCTACAAGTTATCCTAAATTCAATTCAAGTAATCGGATGAATACAAATTTTTTTGATAAAGATACAAAATAGTGTAAAAATTACTTTTATCGTTTGTTGTACTCCTTGACAAATACTGAATGCTGAGCCGAAATGTTGTCTTGGAAAAAAATACGTAATCTTGAACATAAATTTAATTTTAATCGGCCTTTCCTTTTCTATACAATGTCTTTTGCAATGACCTTTTGTTTTTCTTGCATAAAATATATATATATATATATATATATATAAAATTAAAAAAAATGAACCAATAACCAATCTAATCAAGAAGAATAAAAGTTAAATTGAATTAGACATTTGACGGAAAAGGGATAGATATAAATTGTAACTATTACTCGTGTTTTAAATTGTAATATTCGTATTAACAATGCTATTACTTATGAATTTTTTTTAGAAAAACTAACATTTTGATTTAAAAATCGTGCATTGCTCATGTACTATAATAAATATACAACAATCATGTGCAATAATTTATGTTGTTTTATACATAATAATACTTTTAACTATAATAGTATGTGTATATAATATAATATTTTTTATAATATAAAAAAGTATATGTATATAATATAAATTTTATAACACGTGTCCTTCATACCAAGTGTAGTCCTAATGTGTCTATTTTATATAGTTTTACCCCCATCCCTTGGTCATAATTAGTAGTGTTTTTGGCTCTTTAGAGCCACTTTTATTACTAATTGGTGTTTTATAGTGTTTTCGTAGATTTGGTTGACTTTTGCAGGGATTTATGCTTTTGGAGTATTTTCCCGAGTTATCTTGGAGCAATCACGAGCATTGGAGAAAACACGACCAGATTTTATAGCCCAGGGCCGGTTAGAGTCATCGAGCCGGTGATTAAGGGCTCGGTAATTGGGATTCCGAGGTATTTGGACCAAGTATTCAAGACCCGAAGAGGAAATCCGGATTGGGCCGAGAAATCAAGCCCAATCGAAATCCGAGCCTCAAAGTGAAGCAAGGGCCCGATCGGGCAAGTGTTAGCACGATCGGGCGCGGCATGCTTAGTGTTGTGCGTGGCT